AGGTTTTCAGCTTCAAAGTTACCTCTGAAGGATCTCTCTGGGAGGTAGCTTTTGCCATGAAGGTTACAGATGTTTACGTGATATCTCAACTGTGAATGGCATCTTGAAGAAAAGACTTATTTCAGGGATAAGTTCATATTTTATATAAGTTAATATTTTCCTGAGTTTTCTTGCATGACCCTTTCCCATTTTTAAATCAAGAATTTAGCTCTGTTGCTTTTCTAATGCCATACTGCCCTCCTACAGAAAAGTTTTCTTACCAAACGCCTCAGCTGAACTTCCTAAGATTCAATGTGTGAGTAGTGTTGTTATATCAAAACAGGCTTCACCAGCGCCAGGTAGAAGGGGACTGTGACTTCCCGTGATTTGCTGGCCATGCACGTCCTAACATAACCCAGTATGTGGTTTGCCTCACTTGCAGTGAGAACGCACCCTTGCCTTATGATATTCAACCTGGAGAGCACCTTAACCTCCAGGTCATTTTCAGCAGGGTCCTTTTTGGCCAGTCACTTCCCAAATGGGTACTGACACATGGAGTTTGTTCCTTCCCAGATGCAGGACCTTGAATATCATGTTGAACTTCAGGAGGTTTCTGCAGGACCAGTTCTCAGGTTTCTCAAGATACGTCCGGACTGAGGCTCTCCCGGTTGTCACGGTAGTTGCTGCCCCAAACTAAAATAATTCATAGGGTGCATTCTGTGTCATCATCCAGGTAATCAATAAAAATGGTCCCCTAGTAACAACACTAAAGTGCCATGCTATCTATCTGTGTATGTATCATTTCACTGGACATAGACATTACATTTGATAACATTATTAATGGTATGTCTCTGAGGATTTCATTTATATTTTTCTAGGCATGTTGTTTTGTTTTGTTTTTCTAGTTAACTTATTCCATATTTAGCCAAAGATAAGTTAGTGACTTCTCTTTCATCTGGTAAGTCATTTCCTGTGCACCTACCCTCACAACCTCTCTTTTGTACAAGCATCCCTCACTTTCTGGCTTGAGCAATGTACTAAATTTTGTCTGCTGTCTTCAGGGATCAGACAGCTTTGAGCTGAACTGCTTCAGCTTCTGATACCTACTGCTGTTCTGTTCAGTCTAAAGCTATATGCCTGAGAAAAATGGTTGGCCATTTGGTGTTCTGGTGCCATTAAGATGGGAACCCAGAGTATTATGAATTTTAAAATGCCATTGTATGGTTTAGTATTTATTGGATCTTGCTGCTTCCCTGTCACATAAGTTAAATTTTCATGAAAACAAGAAATTTCCTTAATTGGTATCTCACGGCAAATTGGGTCAGGCTGGAAAAATAAAAAGGATTCTTCAGTTCTCATCCATCACTGTTAGCAGTGAAAGCTTTGATGCTTAGGCAAGACTCCCTTCAGCATGTTTGCTCTTTGTAACTGAATAGGCTTAACAGTTTCGCTATTAAGGTATTTATCCATTTCTCCGTAGTGTTGTGTCTGCTGTCCTAAATAGAACTTAAGCTGAGTTTCAATATCCACGTATTGGGAATTATAAACTAATTTCTTAAGTTATTTTTTCAAAGTAAAATAACATTTCGACATATGTCTAAATTTTTCCTGTGGCCTGTTTCTAAAATTAAAATTCTGGATAAATTTCAAGCTTCTCTCTTCCAAATGGTGTGCTTCCCCAGCCTTTGTTCAAAATATTTGAGTGATATGTTATGTAAGTGATTATAAAGCACTTTGGGAATTTTTGGATGAGAATTACCATTTACTAGCTCTACATCTGGATAGTAGGTCTTGTTATCCATTACTGGCCTTTGTTGCAGGTTCAGAATATAATAGGCTCTGATACTTTTGCCTGGTGATTTTTACAAACTTTTTTAAGACTCAATTTAGACTAACTGTTAGCCTAGACATTGGAAAGATTTTTTTTGGCTTCAAATATATCATATTTATTTACATATTATTTATATATCCTATGAAAGTGGTTCAATTTCTTCAGATTACCGACTTTTATACTCTTTTTTTATGCAGCAAGGTTCATATTTGATTTGGGTAAACTAATGTTACTTAAACCTTTAAGTGATTTTTCCCAATTTTATGCAGTGATTTATCCATAACTGTTGCATAGCACCTAGTGTTAGATGGGGAAAGAAAGGAATCCTTAATTTACAGTGTGGTTCTTAGATGGAGTGCAGATGTAAAATATTTTTCAGTGGGATTAGCGAGTTAGTCCTTCAATCTCAAAAAAAATTTTCATTCATTATTTTCATTCAAATTCCTACTACTTTATATTTCAGTTCTGAACTAATTTGTAATTTCAGTTGTTCAGGGCTTTGGAGGTGCAATCACTCTTATACTCTACTGCTTGGGCAGACAGGAAAACCTTTGTGACAGAATTACTATGTTCTTTAGGTGATACACCATGTGCTTATTTAACCCAAATTCCTCTTTCTTGTGACTTTCCTACACCTGGCACCTGTTTACTGTGTGACATATTCTTTCTTTGGCTGTAAATTCAAATTTACAATGAAGTTCCCTGGAACCAGCAGTATTTTAAAGGGCAAATGAGACTGTATATGGTCCAAACTTTTTTTAAGTCCACCATGGGTGTGCAATTGTACTACAGAACTCAATGAAATGTTCTAATTTTTTTTTTCCTGTCTGGTGGTTACAATAAGAAAATCTTATGTTGCTTCACAAAGATCTTTCACTTCTGCCTATTACCATGAGTAATATTCATCATCAAGGAAAAATTTAAACCATAAGGGATGACAACGTATTTACACTGATTCATGTTTTATGTGTCCCCATAGTGGAAACTTTCATATTCATATACAGTGTAATGTGCGATTAGCAGACAGAAAGGGACTTGAAGTCTCCCTACTTGAGTTAAGCTCTGAAAATAAAAATTCCTGAAAAATTAATAAGTCTGTCTTCTATCTACTCTGCAGAGCAAAACAATGTACTTTCAATAACTATACCATCTGTTAGCATATGGCATTGACTTTTGAAGGAATGTTTACATCTGGGGGACATGACTTCTTTCTTGAGTGTACGAGAGGATTTAGTGATTAAAAAGGAGGTATGTGATTTTACATATAATTGAGAAGTAATTCTTCTGAGGATACTTCCAGCACTTTTAGATCCCTTAACTCCTATGTCTGTGAGAAACCAAAAAAAAAAGAACAAACAAACAAACAAAAAGTTATATGCTACACATGATTAAGATTATGAGCTTTAGGCTTTTAAAATATACAAGAAAAAGGACGACTGTGAATCACACAATAGCTCTCTATCAGTGCATTGCAATGCCTTGTAATTTCAGGGTCCTCCAAGGAATAGCAGTCCACTGTTGGGACTCACAACGGAAGATCAGGCTCTCTGAAGAAAATGATAAATAGTGTCAAAATAAAACTCTCTTTAGTACAATGCTTATGGACTGTGCTTGGAAGTGTATGGCTTCTGATTATTAAAAAAAAAAAAGGAAATATTCATTTATTTCGTTATTTTGTAGGGTTTTTTTCCTTATTCACATTTCTTGGCTTGGGAGGGACAGCAAAAAGCAGTAGTGCTAGAATTGCAAATGTGTTTAAAACAATGTGTTTTGGGAAGAGAAAAAACAACTTCTTATTAACTAAGAACTAAATGTACATTTCTAGTTCGATATATACAATATACCACTCATTAGCTTGAGTCTTCCAGTCACTGAATGAATATAGTCATTATGAGTCTGCTGGCTGCTGCGGTGTTAGAGCAGCACACTACTTAGATGGAGCTGGAAATCAGGTGCACAGATAATAGAAGTTGTACCTGTTTCTTTCAGTATGAATTCTAGCCTATCAGTTTGTGGGGAGCGTTGATGGCTGGGTGTTACTAATTAGCTTTTCTGTTTGATCAAGCAGATCTTCTGCGAGATCCTGCCACTTCAAGAGCCTGAACCCTGAACTATACTGCTGGTGGGGGTGGAGGGGGGGTGGGAACACAGACAGAGCCTGTGCTGACGGGGCTGAGAAATGGAGACTCCCACACTGATGAAGGCTGCAGGCTCGTGACTTCTGGCACCGGGAGGTCAGCTGCCGCTCTGCTTGCAGGTGTGCAGCCGCAGAGCAGGTTCGGTGCCTGGGAGAGAGGACTGGGAGCTGCGTCCAGTGAAGCACCAAGCCGGCTGAGCCAGGGCCCTGCAGCAACACCAGGAGGAAGCAGCTAGCAATAATAGTGGAGACTCCCTGCATCGAGAGACAGAGGCCCTGTCTGCTGACCTGACCCGACCCACTATCTAGGGATGTGTGCTGCTTGCTGAGGGCTGAGATGGGGGATGCAGCGGAAAGGTTTTCAAGGCCTCCCTGTTCCCTGGACTATTACCCCCCTGCTGCTCTTCCATGGGGACACCAAGAATAGCACCAGGGGACACCTGTAGTGTGCCAAAAGCTCCAAGGGCAAGGGCCAAGGGCATGGGGACAAGGGGTTTTCTCCTCAGTCCTGCCAGTGAGGGGGAAGGGCAACACAACTTGTGTGGATACAAGGATTTTGTTTTAATGACCACAGCGCCTTTCAGAGGATTGAGGACTGTTAGGGGGAGATGGGCTCTACCTGACCAGTATGGCAAAAACATCTCTGCCACCAGGCTGGCCAACCTGGTAAGGAGAGCTTTAAACTAGGAGTAATGGGAGAGGGAGATGACCATGCCCAATCCAGTGAGGAAGTTGTCAACCAGTTTGACAAGCAAAGCCTACAGGGCGATGTGGACATAATCAGCACACCAGGGCAGGAAGGGGTGCATCCCTCCCATTTCACAAATAAGGAAGGTAGAATGCACACAAGTAAGTGCCAAGAGGACAGGAATGTTCTCATCCTTTTCTGGGAAATCGTCATGACTGGGTGACCCTTTAAAATGCCTGTACACTCACACACACAGCAGAAGGAAAAAACAGGAAGAATTAGAGATCTGCATACAGTTGCAGGGCTAAGATCTCATAAGGATCACATATATGTGGTGGGATAGCTTACACAACTGGAGCGAAGCAATGGATGGATACAAGCTCTTTAGGAGGGACGGGCCAGGAGGACAAGGAGGTGGAGCTGCCATTGGCATGAGACAGCAGGGACCTCTGCCTGGGGATGGGTGAGGAACAAACTGAGAGCTTATGGGTCAGGATGAGCAGGCAGAACAACATGGGTAACACTGCAGTGGGTGTCAGCTATGGACCGCCTGATCAGAAAGAAGAAATAGAGAGGCCTTCTTCAGGCGACTGGAAGGAGCCACACGTTCACAGGCCCCGGTCTTCGTGGGGGACTTTAACCACTCTGGTATCTGCTGCAGGGGCAACACAACAGGGCACAAGCAATCTAGGAGGTTTCTGGAGTGCACTGATGACAACTTCCTAAGGCAGGTGGTTGAGGAGGTGGTGAGGAGAGGTGCCACGCTAGACCTGATACTTACAAGCAAGGAAGGACTGGTCAGGGGTCAGGAAAGTTGGGGGCAGCCTTGGCTGCAGTGACCATGAGATGGTGGAGCTCAGGATCCTGTGAGGAGGGAATAGGGCGAAGAGCAGGATCACAGCCTTGGTGTCCAGGAGAGGAGACTTTGGCCTGTTCAGGGACCTGGTTGGAAGAATCTCGTGGGCTATGGTCCTGGAGGGAAGAGGGGTCCAAGAGAGCTGGCAGATATTCAAGGATTACCTGCTCCAAGCTCAAGAATAGGCCATACCAACAAAAGGGAAATCAAACAAAGACAGCAGGAGGTCTGCATGGATGGACAAGGAGGTCTTGACTAAACTGAAACATGGAAAGGAATGGTACACGCATAAAATGGAAGGTGAAAGAAGGGAAAATTGATCCAGGAGGAATATAAAGATGCTGTCTCAGTGCAAAGAGATGGGGTTAGGAAAGCCAAAGCCCACCCAAAGTTGAATCTGGTGAAGGATGTGAATGGCAACAAATGGGTTTTTATGGGTGTATCAGCAGCAAAGGAAGACTAGAGGAACTGTGGACCCGCTGCTGAATGGAGTGGGAGCCCTGGTGAAAGATGGCACAGAAAAGACCGAAATGCTGAATGCCTTCCTCAACTTAGTCTTTATTGGTAAGGCCAGCTTTAAGCAGTCCAAGAGATAAATTTATTCAAAAATTATTTTTGATTTCCCAGAAAAGCACCTACTTGAGGTGAAAAGCATTAACTGGAATATAAAATTATTATTGAAAAATGTGTGGATCCATAAACTAAAATATAATGTGTGAGTTATAACTAGACAGTAAGCATTAACAGGCTTTAGTGTCTTTCCACCGAAGTGTTATGATGGTTACCATGAATGACTTGAGGCTTTGTCTCAAGATATAAAAAAAGCAAGGATCTAGCTTTGCTTCACAACCAAAACATTTCTCATTCCTAGTAGCTTGTATGCAGAGATTAAGCACCTGCATAATTTGAAGAAGGAGAAATATTTCCATTGGCTCATATTGGTCTACTTAATTGAAGTCACATCTAGTCATATTTATAAGCTGAAATTCATTCAAAATTACAATTGTATTATCTTCAGCTTTCTATGTCTTGCTATATACTATTAGTATTTCTTTTTTTCCTATCAGAACAATATCTTACTGCTAATAATTCAAAATTTGAATGCCAGATTTTTTTAATAAATAATTCCAAATAGCCTTTCTTCAAATATGCATGCCATTTTTAAATAAAATAAATCTGATTTCAGAAAAGGTAGGCTTTATAAAAAATCCTATCTTGATTATTTAAGACTTTATTGTTGCAGCTAATTTTTTCCCTTGCCTCCTCCTTCTTTAAACTCTAATGGACTCTAAAATAAAGCACTATATAGAGCTTCTAGCTCTATAGAACAGTATAGCTCGAAATTACAGTAAGGAGTGTTATTCTGTTAATGCTACTGTGCATATTTTTTATGCATAAAAGCAAATCATAGGCTAATGATGAAAACATACATTATTTTAATATACTCCATTGACAAGAAAATATTTTTGTTTTATAAGCACCATAAGCACCATTATCTATAAGCACCATTTCTACAAGCACTGTATATCATTTTAAATTTTATTTAAGGCAGATCTAGCAGCTAATTAGGCCTAGCAGCTAATTCTAACTTAAGTAGTAGATTGTAATCTATTAATAACACCATTAAAAGTATAAACGAATATAGATAAAGTACAGAAAAATGTGATCAAAATATGGGGCCAAGTCTAGGCCATCCTGGACTCGATAAATAAAGCCTGTACTGGAAATAAATGAATGGCAAGTATTAAGGATGAAAAGTTACCCCCAGCCCTAACTAAGAAGTCACCTTTCCATGCTGACTTCTAACCTTAAACCAGTTAACTGTAAGGTACCTATATACAAACATATATTTATATGTGTCTATACATTTGCCTTACATCAGCTAAAACAACTTTACCTGAAGAAAGGATACAAGGAAGTTTCTTCTATAGGACTGTGTTTCTCTTGCTCTGAACTCATGTTTATGCAGAATTTTTCTCCTGAAATGACCTCAGACCAGCTTTGAAACTAAATCTCCAACCTGAGCTAAATAATGTTACATTTCTGCTCTAGTAACCTGCCCATCTGTTAGTGGCATTCAAGATAAAATTTAGCCATTCTGAATATATATGTATATACTTAGATAGTAGGTGGCTACAAGTCTCATACTGTTGTCACATTTTTTTTTAACCTGTATTTGTTCTTTGCTTCAATTACAAAGTACAGTAAGCAAGTAAAGTTTGTTTTATATACTGCTAGCTTTTCTAGGGTCCAACAGTTGTCAAACCCTGCTTTGTTCTTTACAGTGACCCTTGCCGAAAATGTTAGCCTGTGATAGTACCAAGAAAAAGGAATGAGGACTTTCAGAGTGGATGAAATGAAAAATCTAGTTTTTGATTAAAACAGAAATAATCGTAAATGCTGACTTCTGAGCTTTTAAACCTGATATCGTGAAATCATTGCAAGGATCAAAGCAGCACTGGATTTGTAAATAAGATTAAGCTGCGTCTCAGAGGAAACATTTGTACATAAAATATTTTGCAAGAACCAAAAAAACTGACAGAATGCTCATTATTAAGCTTTCCATCTCCTTTGTCTAATTCCTAGGGCAGGTGACCTGACAGGATAAAGAGAAAGTAATGGGTTATCTTCTCAGCTATGTAAGTTCAGTGCCCAGTGAAGATTCTCCAGAGATAATGGATTCCCCAGCAGGAAAGGTGTAAGGATAGTTTGCTTTGCGCCAGCTAGGTGTTGAACCAACAAATACTGAACCCCATGTGCTTCCAGCATCGTTACTGAGCTAGATGAGAATCTTAGAAACCTTATGTCTAGCAGTAGGTATTACCATATGGTTCAGAGTGAGGTGCAAGAATTCAGTAATGCAGTGATGGAATAATCTACTCTTACGAGAAGTTTCATCTGATCGTTTAGGAGAGGATGTTCTTGGTACCTGTTCCTATAAATTCTGCTAAGCAATTGATTTTAGTGATATCATCTGGCAAAGCTTCACAAATTCTGTTAAGTGGAAAATATATAAAAACAAAAATACTTTACAGAAAGGTGTTATATCAGTACATGATCGTACCTAGGAACAAATGAGGCTTCATGAAGGCAGAAATGATATTCTTATATATAACAGAGGAAATGAAAAGAGAGCTGAGTAAAAGCAATAAATAGTAAAATAGGGAAGAATTCTTTTGCAAGTGTGAGGTCTGAAAGAGGAAAAATTCTTATGTGATCATAATGTAGTGGCCGTGTCATTATTCTATATGTGACTATTAAAACATTTATGTACCTGATCATTAGATAAGAGCATGTATTTTAAAGAAAGAAACACATTTTGACTTACAGCATCTGAATAAAGCTAAACTGTGTTCTAAGAACTATTTGCGTAGGGAAACTGCAAAAGACCCTAAGAGGACAAATACTTTACTATTGAATTCATCACTCTCTTAAATGCCTTGTCTGTTCTGATATGGCTCTCTGAGTTTTATTAGACTTTTTCTTTTTAAAATTATGGAAACTGAAGGTGAAATTTTTTTTGAGTGATAGCATTTTCTAAATGGGAATTTACAGTAACGTTTCACAAGAAACCTTTCAAATTTCACAGTGCTCCAGGTCATCTATTACTAATTATTATAACCATGAGAACAAAGAAAAAAGTAGATAAAATTTTCTGGATCAACTGGGTAATTTGGAAATTCATTGTTGTACTCAGAGCTATTGTAAGGCTGGTCATGATTTTTAGCCTCTCAGCCCCAATTCAAATGAAAAGTGATAGGAGTAATTTGTTACAGTTGTAAGCTCCCTGCCTGGGAAAATTTAAACCGATGGAGAAAATTAAACAGGAGAAATTCATTCTTTCAGATTCTCTTATTTTCTTTGTGAGAAAAAAAGTAAAAAAAGATAACAACATGGAAGATATTATAACCTGCAGGAGAAAGAGGTACTTCACAGAGTATTCAGCATGTTGTCAGATGTCACATATACCTTAATTAATGTCACATAACCTAAGCATTTAAACAAAATACCTGAGGTAAGAGATGATTCCAGCGTGGGAGTACTCCTACACTTCGTCTCTAGTCAATGAAGAGAGAAAGACATTGTCAAAGCATGACTAAGATTTCAGATACGATGAATCACTCTCAAGAGGTGTCTTTCCTTTTTTTTTTAACTGTTTAGAAATACCAGGACTGTAAATTGGCTGTCTGAATTTAGATGACTTACTGAAGTATCTAGTCAAAGAGAGTCAGTGTAAAGAGGTGGGCATCTCCAGAGGGTAACTCTGTCTACCCTAAGATAGATGTCTATGACGCATAGGGTCTTTCATGTTCTAGAGATGCTCATCTATCTGTATTATTGCAATGAAAGTCTAGATGACTAGCTTAGGCTCTAGTAAGACTGTACTTTAAATAGTTTAAGTTAGGGGAGACTATATGTTAGTTCCTTACTTGAGTATTTCATTGAGATAACTAAAGCTAGGTAGGATGAACCTAGAATATAACACAAGTGCTGGAGTGCAATTATTTTGTTGGAACAGGTTTGCCTCAGGCTGAGACGGTCATCTACAATGACTGTGGAGATTTGGAGGGTCGTGTGCTTTTTTGTATTTTTTGAAATACTTAGAT